TAGTATCTCATATACGCAAGCACATACCAAAAATCTTCACCATTGGACCAAATCATTTCCTCCTGAAGTCGAGACTCGCAGAAACGAAGGCCGATAACTCAGTTCTTTCAGGAAGCTTTTGGGCGGAAGACCGGAGATGTCTCGATTGGCTTAATGCACAGCCACCAAAATCAGTAATCTATGTTAGTTTTGGAAGCATTACAGTTGTGACAAGAGAGCAGCTATTGGAGTTCTGGCATGGATTAGTGAATAGCGGACAGAGGTTCTTGTGGGTCATGAGGCCAGATTCAATTGTAGGGGAGGATGGGAAGAATCAAACTCCATTAGAATTAGAGGAGGGTACAAAGGCAAGGGGTCATATGGTAGGATGGGCACCTCAGGAAGAAGTTCTGAACCACGAGGCAGTGGGTGGGTTTTTGACTCACTGTGGATGGAACTCAACTCTGGAGAGTATTGCGGTTGGTGTGCCAATGATTTGTTGGCCATATTTTGGTGATCAAACGGTTAACAGTAGGTTTGTGAGTGAGGTTTGGAAGATTGGGTTAGACATAAAAGATACTTGTGATAGAGAAATTATTGAGAAAGCTGTCAGGGAGCTTATGGAAGAAAGGAAGGATGAGTTCTCGGTAAGGGCAGAAAACATGGCAAAGCTTGCAAGAAAGGCTGTTAGTGAAGGTGGATCTTCGTATTGCAATTTGAATGCTCTTGTTGATTACATCAAAACAATGATCATCTGAGTGTTTTTCCAACTTTCTTGCTTAATAAGGAAAACAAAACGAACTTCAGGAAACTTGAGTTGCATTAGACTTGTGCTTTTGTTTGCTTTATAATTGTCAGTATCCGGATATGTCGTATGTACCTTGTAATTTTGTTGATTGCCTTCATGATTTTATTCTAATTTTCTGTTCGACAGGTATTTGATTGTGCCAAATGTTACAATTTCTTTATTTTTGTACGCTAACATTTTGAAATATTTGAAATTTGAAGTACCGTACAAATTTAAAAGCAATTGTGCGCATATTGTTCTTTCTTCTACCTAGGCAGACCTTATGGAAAGTTTGTTGGACGGATCAAATTCAGGCGATGGATGTGCGTTCTTCAAGCGACAACAGAAGTGTACTCTCGAAACACTTTTGGATGTAGAACCAAAAATAACAGAAGTGTACTCTGTTTTATTTGACAAAATTACTATACATTTGATCTCAATCATACAGACTTGACATGATACCCAACAAATTCAACTACACCATTTTGTCACCAATTAATTCATTTCAAATAATCAAACCACAAACAAAAGGAATGCACCGTTAGAAGGACAATTAACCAGAGATCTCGATGTACTTAAAGGGGTGGAGCCAACGCCCGACGAGCCCCTGCGGCCGCTGGATTACTGGATCCACCGATGTCTTAACCTCAGGTTTCTTCACTTCTTCGGTTCTTCCTTAGGCACAGTAACAGTAAGCACAACATTCTCTATGCTCGCCTTTACCTGATCTGTCTTTGCATTTTCCAGCAGCCTGAAATGGCGAAGGAACTTGTCAGTGCTCCTCTCCAGAGACGCCACTTGTCGTTATTTTCCTGTTGCTCGTTGCTCCTCCCTCTCTACTTATGTGAAGCACTCGTCCTTCTTCAACCTCGACCTTAACCTCTTCCTTCTTAAAGATCAGAGTTGAAAACGTGGGCTTCTGGAGTCTCTTTCCAGCCTATGCAAGCATTGGAAAATGCAGAGGTTTTGCGGCCAGAGCTTGGGACATTGGCTAACGAGCTTGAGAAAGGGAAGTCCTCAAAGGGGTCCCAAATATCAAAAGACAATGGATCGAAAACGTTCCTTTGTCGGTTGCCAAAGAAGCTTAGAATCAGAGACGTTTTATAGGATGGATTCCTAGAATCGCCATACGAGAATTAAAAATTTCTTTTTATGGCTGAATGGAGGCTTTCAAAGTTTCTGTGATGGATGTAGCTTAGAGTGGCATCATCACTTTCACGGCGTTTCTTGGAGAAAATTCCTTGGAACCGTTTCACAGCATCTTCAACAAAAAAGAATTAAAAGTAATAAAGAAATATATTTTGGGAAAAAAAAACAATAAAAAAAACGAGGTTTTTCTGTAAAATTCATAAAAGAATTAATACAACTACGTGTATTTTATAGAAACACAGTTACCGAATATAAAAGATTTAGCATAGTGACTGTATTAAAAATGTTACTTTTCACTATTTTTGTTCTCCATCAAATAGTTTTAGGGTACCGTTATTTTCATCCACAATTTATATGAGAGTTGTTCCCATGTCCACGATGAGAAGTCTTATAATGCCCACTCGAAGAGAATCCAACGTTAGGTTCTCCTGCCACATCAACAGGTGG